ACCCCTTGTTGTGCTCCCTGGCTGTTGCACTGCTGGCAGGGATTGGAGTGTGCTGCTAAAGCGTCTGCTTGCTGTTCCCAGTCAGATGCTTGTGTGAGTGTGTAACTGTCTGGAGCTGGATCCAGAGAGAACGTGCTCAGCACCAGAGCTGTGGGAGGTGTCAGTGTCAGAGCTTTCCTCTCTCCTTACCCTCCATGATCATTCATGCTTCCCAGGGGCACTTGCAAAGCACTTTTCCCCCTGAAACCTTTGCTTTTGCAGCCTTTAATTGAAAGGTAAGCCAGGGAGAGGGATTTTGAAATTGGGGAAACTGAGGCAAGGAGCATGAGACTGTTCCTGTTGTCTATCACCCTGGAGAGACTGGTGGTGTGCCTGACTGATCCTTCCTCCTGGGTTTCTGACTGAAGTTTATTTGGGGTCAAAACCAGAGGTTTTCTTTGGTGACCTTGCCTTGCGCCTGCAGGACTGGGGGGAGGAAGTCCCCCCCCTGCACTCTGCCTGCTTTCCCCGTTTGTTTTGCCAGTTTCTAAACACATCTCTCAGAGTTGTTTTTAATCTACAACAAAGCCTTTGCCTTGCTGTGTTCCTCTGTGGTTTTCAAATGATGAAAAAAAAGAAAGAAAGGAAAAAAAAAAGCTTAAGTAAAAAACCAAAAACAACTCTCAAATCTGAAATTAGTGGCTTAGTTTGACCCTGAACTTACATCGCCCCCATCCAGTTCATTTCCTTTCATCTTTGGACCTGCCAGCAATCTAGGAAATCAGTTTTTCACGTGTCTCTGCCTGCTACATCTCAGGCAGTGGCTCTGCTTTGCTCTCACAGAGCTTAACCCAGCGCTTCTTTGGTTTCTGCTAAACCTGACTGAATTTTACTTTTGCCAGTAAAACCAGGGGCAGCACTGAAGCTGGCAGCTTTCACAGAGCATCGGCGGGGTTTTGTGGCTGGGTTTGTAGCCAGCCCTCTGCAAAGCCAAGGTTATTTTGGGAGCATGGATGGGAGTGACACCACGGCATGGGGTGACAGTGGGGAAGGTCTCTGGCTTCACAGCTGCCCACTTTGCTCCCTCTTTGCTCCTGGAATTGGGACAAGGTTTGATTTGGGGGTTTGCAGATGCTTCAGAAAGGGGCGTGTGAGCCCCCAAGGTGCCAGCACCACCCCGTGATGGGAACGGCAGCGCGGTGAGGTGAGGTTGCAGCCCTCTCCCCGGCTTCTCTTGGGGAAGCTTTGATTTTGCACGTGGGAACCAAAGGCAGGGGCGGGCAGCGGGATGTGCACAGTCATGTTGTAGGGAGCTGCTGTCTAAGCTTGTTGTATGGCAACTTGCCCTTCAGATTTCCCAAAATGGGCAGTGTGAGCAGCGATTTGGACTTGGATGGGTGTCCTGTCCCACCCCAAGCCCCAGCTGACTGTGGCCTGATTTCCAGGAATGCAATGGCCCTGAACGTCAGGCTCAGCTGAACCCTGCACTGCAGCTAAACCCTGGAAGATCTCCCATTTTCCATCTTTTTATGTGGATCTGTCCCAAATACTTGGCTGGCGGTGGAAGAGCACCAGTCGAGCTGGGTGTGTAAAGGTGGAGGTGGGGAAAACCTGGTCTTGCGTTTGCTGCCGATGCCCTTTTCCACCAGTCCCTGCCTGAGGGGAAACTGAGGCATCGGTGACTTTTCAGAGTCTGTTTGCTCCAGGCTGGTATGTCCCATCTCGGGGACCATAGCGGGTATTTCAAGCCCGGATCCTGGCCTGCCTGCAGCCTCCTCCCTATGCTGCTCACATCCTTCCCTGTGCATCACTCTCTCTGGGCGGTGAAAGCTTTGGAGCGAGGTAAAGAACAACTCTGTTCTTTGGCTCAGTGACTCTCTCTGCTTCTTTGGGTCGTAAATCCCAGGACATGTTTTTGGCTTTGTGTTAAATTCAATTTCTGGAGAACATTTTTCTCCAGTAAAGATTGACGAGGCCTTTTAATGACTTGTTGGCGAGGATCCTGAAAGCAAAACCGCTCGCATTACTCTGCTGCGCTGCTGCCTGGGAGCAGAGGGGCTCTGGTGCTGTGCTGGCGTCCTGCGGGCTTAGGGAAAGGTCTGCTCCGAGCACTCAGTCAGCAACAGGTTTTGCTCCCCCATTCCCAGGAATCTCTAACGGTAGGAAAACACCTGTCAGAATGTTTTTTTTTTTCCTCAATCTGGTGGTTTATTAGGATGGTACTGAAGCCTGAGGAGATTCCTGGGAATCCCACCTGCCTGATGAGTGACAGCAGCTTGCAGGGTAACACAGAGATCCTGCTGGGGATGATGCAGAGATGCAGTTATGGGATGAGTTACGGGTCTGGCTTCAGAAAATGAGAAACAGAATTTATTTGCCAGTGAGTGCTTCGGTATTTGCAGGGGTCTTGCAGCGTGAGGCACAGGAACAAGGAAACCCCACCGTGTTCATGGAGAACTGATTTCACAGCTGATGGCCCCTGCAAGCAACTCATTTGATGCCGGTGATGCCAGCCTGTGGGGTGACAGTCACTGGGCTTTATTTGGGTGCTGGGAAAAGGGGCTGCTCAGCCTTGTCATGGACTGGCTGGGGACAGGGATGAGGGAGCTGCAGGATGGATTAATGGGTGCTGCATCACCCCTGTTCTGGGAAGCTGCCACATGCTTATTTTTGTTTATTTGAATGGTCTTTATATTTCAGCCAGAGCCTTCTGCCACTGGCTGGTGACAGGAGAAAGGAAAAGTAATTCATGTATGAGGGTATAGACAGCAGCAAGGCAGGGACAGTCCCATCTCCTGGCTTGGTGACAGAGCCTGTTAGTGACAACTGCTTTCAGGAGGAGAGAAAGCACAAGAGGTGCTGTTGGCCCCCTCTGTCCCATGCTGGCTGCAGGGCCAGGCACTGCTCAGCTCCATTGCACCCACCTCTGTGTAGACAGATCTTGCTGGACACCTCATCCTGAAGGATATCTCAGCACTTCCTACTTTACTAGCTTAGGATCCCCATTGCAGTAGTCATATATAAATATGCATGTATGAATATGTATGTATTTTAGAAACTGTTATGCATTAGCAAATGTCCTGGGAGTTTTTCTTTTTAGAGGTGTTATCAACAGGATATGCCTTGAATATTTGACAGCTGGGTGAGAAGCTGGTGGGAAGCCCTCGATAACAGCTTTTCTTTACAGCCTTGCTGTGCCCAGAGTCCTCTGGCCTCTGTTAGGCTCCCTTGGGGTTGTTGTACCAGAGACCCTTCGCCTTGGGACAGGCAGGAGTCTGGCTCCCTTAGTTGGCATTTTGAAGTGCTCAAGCTGTTTTTATGAAGTATGGGACAAGCTCTTTGACATGGCTGGAACCAGCTCCTTGAGGCAGGGGAGGAAGAAGCATCTGAGAAACATCGCTCGGTCATTGTGAGCTATGTAACTGGCAAAGCAATGCTCCACCCTGTGTAAAAAGCCATGGTTAGTGCACTAATAACACTCATTCAAGGGGTTCCACCCACACCAGGGTTTGCACCCCTGCCAGGGGTTTACCCTCGCAGCCACGTGCTGGCCATGGTGTAGAAATCCCTGCCTGGCAGATCCTGCCACTATTTGGGACGATCACTAGGTCCTGCTGCTTCCCAGTGATGCCCCCGTGGGTGGGCTCCGAGGGGAGCACAGGATTTTTCTTTCAAGATGTTTAGCTGGTTTCTGTTGGCCAAAATAGCATCTGCATGTAGCTCAGGACTAAGTTTAGAAAACAGAGTTTATGTAGCAAGCTTTTGGCTAAAAGCTGTCTTTTTAATGGTAAATGTAGATCCAAATTTTGCTTGGGAACTGTTCCCTCCTGCTCGTGACTTTGAGTCACTTCCCCTTTCCTTGAATCTTTTCCTTCCTTTTTTTATTTTTTTATAAACTCTTTCTCCGCCTCATCTCATCAGAGGGAGGCTGTTGGGAGGACTTGCTCTTCCCTAAGCCTCAGCAAAGCATTTAGCACAAGGGAGGGCCTTGATCTTGTGTTGCCACCATGGGCGATGAGTGCAGGTAACAAAACACACAATTTCAGCCTGTCTGGGATTTCCACTGGAGCCTCAGGAAGGAAAATGGGGGAAAAAAAAAAAGCTTCTGACCTCAGGAAGGAAGAGGTGAGCTCAGAGCTTTGCCAAGCGGTGGCTTCCAGACAGAGTCACCCGGAGCATCATCTCGTCAGCCCAGCGGCTCCCGTGGACATTGTGTGTGCGCCTGGAGAGGCGGCCGCATCCTGGCGCGTCACGCTGCTGCGCTGGGCTGCTGTTTCCTTTCTTCGGACGCGGGTTTTGTTCTTTTGGACAAACACACGGAGCCGAACAACAAAAATAATCCCCCCCTCTTCCCATTAGTGTCGGCGCTGGGGCTG